CCCGACAAATTTGCAACTCCCGCTCTCGGAGTAATTACGTGGAGGAAGCTGCCCGAGCGGCGTCGTCGCGACCGAAAAAAGCAAAAAGGACTCGGCGATGAAAAATGAGCCGGGAGCATCGTGCCGTACCAGGTGCCAGGAGGGAGATTAATTCGCGGTGGTAAATCAGGTTTGTTATACGAGAGCCAGGCCTCGCTCTTCGGGGAAGCTTACGCCTTTATCGAGGAATGTTCCCATGTACCAGAGCAGCGCGTAATCATATATTCCGCGTTCCGCGGTAATGGGGAACGAGAGGGCATTAAGGGAGGCGAGGGACCCGTGGGCGATTAACGGGACGCGCGTCGGCCACTCGATTCCCGCCGATCTCCAGGGGCCGTCGCGGCCTTATTTGTCGCGCGACGACGCGGCTACCCTCGGCCCTACTCTCTCCCGCACTAAACAACTGATATTTTCATAAGAGGAGATGTTGAAAAATTGGCGCGATTTACGTCGATCAATGGTATCGAAGATCCCGCCCGATCTCGCGTTCCTACCCCCACCCTTAACTGTCCTCCAGACAAACACAATTCACAAACACAACATTATTACGTGGATTTAATTGGATTTATGTTATTAAAATTATTTGACTACTCGATCCTCTAAATTACTCATTCTCTTGCTCACTTACAAAACATCTCCAAAGCTATATAAACTATCGCATACTCCTACGTGCCACTTAAACAAAGTCTTGCATTATGTTTGGCAAACAATTTTAATTTAAGCTGAGCCTATTCATTTACAAAATATTTAATGTCATCGTATTTTTCAATGAATTTCATTGTATTGGCCTTAAATTAAATATTATTGAACTCACGTATGTGAGCGTAAGCGTGCGCGAGTGCGCAAGCGCGTGTGCGTAAACTCGTACGTTCGCCTCAAAATCTGTAGAATAAAATTCTTTTACTGAATAGAGAAAAGATATTAATGGCCTTTGCATAATTCAGCATTCGGCATTCGGCAGTAAAATGTCGTATCCTTATCTTAGAAATGATTCGGCTGGTAATCGTATTATTGCATTTAGCAAGTATCGAAAAAGCACGCTCGTGCAATGCGGAGCATAAAAAGAAGATAATTGCATTTACGATAATCTCCGTCTAATATAAATCCACGAAGCCTTGAAATCCCGGAAAAGGAGAGCATTGCGATAAAGCAAATAAATGCAACGGTACTTTATTACTATCACTTTTTATTCTTTAGTGAAGCTCACCGATACACTTTTATATTTTCGCCGATAACAAGCAGCCGCTTGCTGTCGGCGACCAAGGCTTTCCCATGATAGGAAACTCGCTCGCGGCTTTCGCCATCTCAAAAGCGACGATGAAGAGAGAGAGAGAGAGAGAGAGAGAGAGAGAGAGGAGGGGGGAGGTAAACGATGAGACTAAAAATGACGGAGAGGATGGTGGGGATGCCGATGAAGCAATAAAACAATCGCATAAAGGATAGGATAGCGCGCCTACAAGCAGCCACTCGTGTTCAAAGAATGAGATAAAAGTGTGAATGTTCAATGAGCGGATGATTGTCTCGCAGCTAAAATAGGCTTACCTGGCCTATTCACCAAATCACCGCGCGCATTCCAAACAACATGCACACTATAATCGCACGTGTGCATTCGGATATTACAGTTCACTTATTCATACATCGTTATCACGTGTGCGGCGATGCTCGGGATTCAGACGCAACAAATAACGCGAGAAACAACAACATTTTCTCACTTCGACATTGTTACATTATCGCTGCGTAACAGCTGTTGCGACATCGTTCGTTTAATCTTTCATTTTCCGTTTTAGAATGAGATAAAAGGAAACAAACGACAATGCACGCTTTATCTAACTTAAATCGATTATTAATTCTAATATAAACGATTATATTCACGGTGAAGGTGCTTTTTAATATAAAAACCTTTTGAGATATAACATGGAAATTACGTTTTTTAATTAAGTTTTATAAATTTTTTATTGGTTTTTTTTTTTTTGGTTTTTTTTGTTCCATAAATAAATATAGAATCATTACACCTCGAGGAATATATCGATTCGGATTGTATAACGGGGGGGGGGGCGGGGGCTACGAATCCTCTTATGCCTATTCTTATCTAATAAACTAATAAATAAATAGCTCTTATGCATACGGAAAACTTCATTCGATTGTATTAGAGGTGCAATATTTATTGAATGCTAGAAGAAAATATTACCAAAGATAATAATGAGTCGTAGTGCCAGGCGAAAGCTGATAATGAAAAATTTTTTTTTTTTTTGTGCCCACATGTCCAAACCCCCGTCCCCCCAGTAAATGCTGTTTTCGCGTCCTACAATGCATATACATAAGAGCCATAGCTATAAAGAGACACGCCGCCAACATTCTCCTTCTTTTATTTCATCGCCGAAGGTAATATTAATAATAAACGAAGGTATCCATCTTTGCAAATTCCACGATCATATGCGATTTAAAGCTTAAAACGGTCGGCAATATCTTAGCCTTCGTTAAAAGTATGTGCACACATAGGCAAAAGTCCGCGGTTAATCGCGTCGTAGGAGCATTGGTGAACGAAAACTTTTACTCGGAGGCTCGCGCATAAAGTCTAGCTCGCTCTCGCTTACGGGAAATAACGTGTAATAAAATTTCGCCGTACTCGCAGTGTTGCGCCTCGTTCGCGCCAAGTGACTCGACTCACGGATTCATTGTATGATAGGGACGCGACGCGGTGGCGCGGGTTTTCGGTGCCGCCAACCGTAAAACGTGGAAGGGCTGAGAGGAAAAGGAATCGCCGGTTTTTCCATGCATAGATTTAATAGTCAAGGAATATCTATGCCCTTGTAAATGTCTTGTTTTACGACTGCCGTCCGTGAATCTAAGATTTAAATGCTTCGTCTAAATATGTGTTTGTGGGCGCGCGCGCGTAAGTACGTACGTACGTACGTCAGCTGCGAAAGAGCTATCTTTAATAATGTAATCGCCATGACTGTGATGTTTTGAATTCTTGCTTTAATCGTATACTTGTGTTGCTCTCGATCGCCGAGCGTAACAAATAATTCAATTGAATAGCTTGGCACGTAAAAAAGTTAAGAGGAGCTAGTACGATGAGTTGACTGATGAGTATTAGTATTACAAAAGAGAATAAAAATCCTGTCGACTGAAGACTGCTGCAGGTATATTATTCTTAAAGTTTATTACTCGTTGACTTCTGGTCGAATTTCTCTAACGTACACATCAATATAATATCTAGTGCAAATTTTAAACAAGAAACTGTCTGGAGTTTAAACGAAAGCAAAACATCTTATGGCAATAGAAGTACAAGAAAAAGGAAAACCGGCGTTCAAAACCAATATTTCTTTAACGGTATCCATTCGAATGCCAAGATAAGCAAGTCTCAAAAAACCATCTTTTCTTCCTTCTCTTTTGTTTCCTCGTCCTCCACCGCACTCTCTACTCCCCTCACCATACGCTCCCAATTCCTTTGCTCTCTCTCTCTCTCTCTCTCTCTCTCTCTCTCTCTCTCTCTCTCGCTCACTCAGTCACTAGCACGGACTCACGCACGTACCAGCACTCGCGGACAATAACCGCGTACAGAGTAAAGCTGTCCACTAGAGGGAGGAATTCCCACCCACGCGCTGTCAAGACAGCAAGCAATACCGAAGCTACGCTACTACTACTCCCCGTGTCTCTCAATGTCGTACGCATTTCACGAATGGGAAGCGCCCGAATGGGAGAATGCGGACGCGTGGGTGATGCTGTCGTGCACTTGCGGCCGGCTGGTTCGAGCCGGTACTTCGCACTCCGAATGATGATAATTCACTCGGCTCTTCGGGAAACACCGGTCACAATTACACGAGCATGTTCGCTTTGATTTTGCCTGGGGCGGCGCGCGTGCGTGGCATTGTAAAGGTAGCAGGACGAGTCCATGGGTGTGTCTTGCCAGCCGGTCAAGGATTTATCGCGCGCGCGCTTGTCAAGGCTCTCGAACTTTATCATTCCGCCCTCTGCAACCGCTCATCAACGATAATTAACAGGCTTCGCTCCTTCTTTATGACTTTTTAGCAAAAATTGATCGCCCCGCGGGAATCGCACAATGTCTTTTTATTATTATGCGATTGGAGTGATGCGCTTGCCACCGCTACTCACAAGCCCATTGATTAATAACTCACGGTTCCCGTGCTCTCAAAATGCGAATGATTAATTTCTAAAGGAAAACAAGCAAAGAAACATAAAACAATAGATAAACAAGAATGAACGAAGAAGATGATGTAAACTCGATCGACTCACCGCTTGGCATCGTGAAATCAATGAAATCTTATTTTCCTTCTTTTTTTTTCTCTTTTTTTTTTTTTACCAGTTGAAAATCATTTGAACATTATTAAACGACGCGGATCGAACGATACCGATAGATATTCAATTATTAATTGGCCGTGTATCCTTGTAAGAATACTCTAGGAGACGATCTTCGTGTTTACAACGCATGATGTTCCACTTTACCGTTACGTGCTTGCATTTGAGTCAAAGCAGATATTTCAAATATAACATGCTAATGCTATTCGAATTCTAAATTATAATATTATACATAGGCATTGATATTTGTAGAATACAAATAATAAATAGATCAACGGCATTATACATTCGACTTTATTCGTTACTGAAAATTCATATATACGATTTTATCGTTTAAGCTATTTTGATTGTTTATTTATATACGATTACCTTAACTGCGATACAATTAAGACATTCTAATTTTTTATTATTTATTTGTTTAGTTGAATTTTTGTGCGCACATGAGCGCGCGTGTGTTCAATACATCATGTAATGTACACTTAATTTAGAATGGAACATTGCGGGATATTTTGGATGTTAATCTTTTAAGATGAATAGACATCGCATTAATATTTCAATCTTGATTGAGCGATCGATTAAGACTATTATTTTCACAACTATTATTATGCGATAATATAATCGGTATGTCTCTTCTGTTACAGGTGGCGACATGTCGACGTTGAGATCCGGGCTCTGCCGACCCGGGATCATCCTGTATTTGGCTTTCATCGTACTGTCCGCACGGAGTTCAGAGTCTGGTAAGTTGTCAAAACTATATACCTTCGTCAATACAACTGCTCCTTATAAATAATATAACCATCCGAATCAATAATTATTGGTCCTCCTTGCTCCTGTGTATTGGATTTGCTCTCTATACCACTCATACGAGAATTAATATTTATGATCAAGTTGATGTTTAAACTGGAAAAAAAAGGCCATTTGTAAATAGAGACATTTTTTATAAATATCGTTAGCAATAGAGAGAGAGAGAGAGAGAGAGAGAGAGAGAGAGAGAGAGAGAGAGAGAAAGTAGGGGGTTTGGGGGTCGGAAATTGCACTTAGTTAATTAATTTTCTAGATCGATACTTCACTTGGGGCGCAAAATCACGAGAGTCGTTAGTTAAAAAAATATTTGGATGCCACAATCCTACGAGTTTTTTTCTTTTTTTTTTTTTTTTTTTTTTTTTTTTTTTTTTTTGTTGTTGCTGTTGCAATATCTATGTTGATTGTGGTTGCGTTTTATTCACTTTAATAGTATCGACTAAATGAATTTCTATATATACAATGAATGAATTAATTGTAAAGCAAAAGACAATGTTTCAAAGATATTGAAAAATATTTTTTATGCGGTTCGAAAATTCACTAACAAGCTCTTTCCCAACAATAATAATAAAGCATGAAATGTCTAATTACATAGCTTATTGATAGTTGTAGGAATACCGTTAAAAGAAGTAACTATTAAGAATCATTATTTGTATGTATGGAATTCATCTCATTGATGATGGTGTAAGTTAACGGTATAGATATCTTACAACCCATGACTTAAGTATGTACAAGCAATGAAGCTTGTTTAATCTCGTAAATCCGGACGTGCGAGTTTTGTCAAATAAATTCTGTTAGTATGAATAATTCGTTGTACTGCATTAAATAACGTATTGCAGATAAATCAATACTTTATTACTGTTTCGTGTTAATATATTAACCGTATATGAAATAGTTAATGTATAATATAAATTTTCAAAGTGTAAATATTGAGTAAAAAGTCTCGGTCGAAAGTCCGCGATCCTGTACAGAAAATTAGTGTTATACAAGCATTTGTATTGTTATTAAATTTTATATGACCGTGTAATGTCTTAGATTAACAAGAATTAAATTATAATAACCAAACAAATAGCAATAAAATTTAATTTTTCTTTATTTTATAGATTAAAAATTGTTAATTATTTATATAATGATAAGACGTTCATAATAAATTTACTTATTTGATATGTCATGCAAACAACAAACACTGCATTTATTTTCTAATATTAAATTAATTTTTAGTATTGTGTAATATTTAATACGCAATTGTCAAATAACGACAAAAGAAGTACCTACCGTATGAACAAGATAAAAATTAATAATATAATTTTTGCATTTGTAGGACTTTTATTATGATTGCTATTAGCGTGTGATCTATTAAAAAATACATTATTCTAATAAAGTTGTATGAAGAAGAAATAAATTAAAATTGCAGGATATTTCGCACGATAGCGACGCTCGATATTCAAAATTTTATTAAGGCAGTCCAAGTGCTTGACACCACTGTTGCCCAACCTGCGACACAAATCCTCTACAGTTCACAATGTTTTGAGTACTCTTATTTATCATCGTAGTTTCTTACGTAACATATTCTGCTTCTACGAAGCTTCCACTTTCAATAACATTACTTTATTCAATAACATTTCTCCTCGAAAGCGCATCATCAATAAAATCCAATAAAAATTTATCATTAGAAATTTAATGCTATGTTATTATTAATATTTCACAAATAATTTGGAAACTCGTAAATATTTAGAATCTACGGAATGTCCAAGTGTCGCAAATATCCATAGGCCAATATAAAATTAGCCAATTTTTTTTCACATTAATTAATTACTTTATTTAAATAAAGTAGTTGTAGCTGAGCCAAATTTGCTCTCGATTTGCTCCTCACGTTCCAATTTACGAACATTGAGTTACGAACATTTTCCGTCGCTTAATGTACCATTTGATAAAGCACACGACATGTATCGGCTAGAGTGGAATGGAGATGCGAAGTTATTCATCTTATAGCGTTGGTGACGTTCATATCCTCGTGAATATCCTCTCCATCGTACTAATCTTGGTTTTTCATTATCATCATCATCATCCTCGCTCGTCTTCACTCTCACCTTCGTGCCTAAACTGTACAGATGGTCTCCCGATTGCTCCGCATAATAGCCAACAGTCGAGGTTTACCTCGCTCACACTTTCACTATTTTACGAGTGCATGAGCGCGAGTCCTTTGTTCCAACTCCTCGCACGAGCAGTTTCAGCCTCTTTACATCCTTCCTTGCATTTTAGCCTCGCGTACCTCATTCTCGCAACGTCTACAGCGACAGTGAACAGCAAGACTAAGCGCGCGTTTTGAACGAAAATTATAGAAGATCGTTCAACATTTACGTACACACGCATCATTCATTATCCTTGACGGATATTTTGCTGTTATGCGAGCGAGCTCTCGATTCTTTGAACGAGGGATTCTAAAGATTTAAGAGGAAAGGAAGCTTTTGTTATTTTTGATGATTATTTCAATCTTAATTTGTATTTCCGTTGTTACTGGTCTTTTGTGCCGGGAATCCCATTTATCGTGCAGATACGCATAACTTGAAATAAAAATAACGAAGGCAAAAGAGAATAAGAATGCACAAAATTCGAATTTCCAGGAGAATCGAATCACTGAGGCGAACTCGAGGTATTGCGATTATGTTTATAATCGCGCGATTACATACTCCTTGGATTAAAAATTCTCAAATTAAAGCTAATATTTTGACATAAACGCTACCAACATTCTTTTACAAGATCCTCGATGATGCTAACTCAGTTAATGCTAACTTAATACAGAAAACGAGCGAGTTGAATTACTCAAACAGTATTATAGAAGCATTATCTTCAAAATAAAAAACGAGACGTTATGCTATAGTGGATGTAATGAATATTTAATTAGGCGAGGATTTTCAACTCGAACATAAATATTGAAAGTTACCGAGCGTCGGAGAATGTATAAATAAGTGTAGCTAAGGTTAGCCTCCACGAAATTTAAGTACTGCGATTACATTGGTTATTTATTTTGTTTGAAGAGAGTGAGCGATAAGATTTGCGACATTGCTATCCGAGTATATGTAATATTAAATAAGACTACTGTCGATTATTGTACATTAATTTTAATACTCGGAATTATTATAGATTGTATATAGTATATGCGAATGAGTTGGAAGCTCCTTTCGTACGAGAAAGTAAACATGAAAATTTATGAACGCTCGGGCAGCTTCACTCTGCATATTTAACAATATTATTGCGCTTCCTTGAGAACTCGATTTACTTTAGTTTAAAGCAATATTTATGAGAATTCATACACTTTTCTCCAATTTTCATCTTCGTCTAATTCATCTTCTAAACCTTACATACAATGAATTTTATTATTAATGGATGCTGTTTCGAATATGGGAATTCATAAAGATGAATTACTTACTACTGGCCTTTCACCATTCAAATAACCTTAAAACCATTAAAATTCTTGAGGATTGCTTGATTGTTCAAATAAGGGAAGCTTGCTTACCTTTCATTTTATCATAGGCGCCGCAATTTTTTAGTCGTATTTCTTATTTAATCACTCGCACCGATAATTTATTATCTCACAACATTATTTGCAAGCCAGTGTAATATTTAAAAATTAGGAGGAGAAATTAATTTAAAAATTTCATTCTGATCGTTAATTTATTTATAAATATCTAAAATTAATGTCTTTAATGTGATATTAATTTAAAAGAAAAAAAAATTTTCTACGTAATACTTAATAACTGATTTATCATTAAAGATAATTGGACTTGGAGAATATTTTTATAAATTAATTTTCTCTCCTTCATCATCTCTAATTTAGTCGTAATTATAAAAATTCAATTTTTAATATTAAATAAATTAAGAAACACATTTTTTCTGACCATTAATAATAAAAAGATACATTGGTAATTTCAATTTTATAAATAGTAATCTACGGCTTATTAATAGATTGAAATGCAGAAACTGGATGCAATTTTCAAGGCGCAACCTTGAAAAAGATTGATGCAAAGCCCGTGATCGAGAGCACTTATTTATCCATTATAATTATTTAGCATCATTGAAGTCATTAACGTAAGGAAAAACGGCGACTACATTAAATCAACCTGTATTAAAGTTAAAATGCTTTCTTTTTACACTGTCCGAACGGCGATGCATCATCCATCTGCAAGACCAAGACTTGGCGCGGCTCGCTCTATAAATCCGCGGTAAAGCGCATAAATAATTCACATTTTCTCGCTATGTAAAAAGTAACGAGCGCGACCTTACACGTGTCGCCCAGCATCTCGTCCTCTAATCTCTCGAAGCCATCGGATCGCAACGGGATAACGGATACGTACGTCCCCAGATGGGAAAAACTCGAATTCCCACCCCTCTCCTCCTCCGCCACCTCCTTCACAATCCTCCTCCCCATCCTCATCCTCATCCTCTTTTTCTCTCCTTTACACGTCCGTTCTCGGAGCGCACGCGAAAAAGTCCTTTCCTACGGACCTGCAATTGGTGATGCCGCGTAGGGTAAATTCCGGTCAAACCTGTACCGCGGCAGCGGTATATACGAGAGCCACGGCGCTACGCGACTTTTGCGCAACTTTGTGCCGCGACTCGGTGCCGGCGGTAGTCAGAGTTGAAATGTCAGTGACCGCCGCTGTAGTGTCAAGTGTAGCGCGTGAGTTAGAGTTAAAGCCGGAGAGTCAGAGTGCTGGGCATGCATGTAGAGACGGAGATGGAGAAATATAAAGATATAAATAGAGCGAGAGATAAAGTGCGGGCGAGCGCGTGCGCGCGCGTATGAGAGTGCGTGAGAGTGTGCGAGAGCGGGGGAGAACGCGAGAGTGCGAAAGAGGAGGGAGAGGGAAATACATACAAGAAATAGACGTGCTTTGTCAAACTTCCATTGTGCACCTGACAGGCGACGGCACCT